AAAGACATACCCTCCTGACAACTTTCAGTTTATGAAAATCCATAGTTGAACTTTTATAAGGAAAAGTACAAGCTAGAGCTTGTTAATATTTGCCAAACACCACAGGGCTCGATTAGGACAATTAAACATAAATAAAGTGAGCAACATAGCAATTAAGTGGCAAAAATGAATCTTTTTTATGCTTGCAAATTGCATTAATTTTTGTGTGTGTGACTTTCTTTTTTTTTTTTTTTTTTTAAATATATTTTATTGATTTTTTACAGAGAGGAAGGGAGAGAGATAGAGAGTTAGAAACATCGATGAGAGAGAAACATCGATCAGCTGCCTCCTGCACATCTCCCACTGGGGATGTGCCCGCAACCCTTACTTTGAAAATCATGCCAGAGACTTGAAGTCTGTTTCAAGTAGTTTATCCAAAAATGAGTGTCCTGATTTACTGCTTGGAGGCAATCATGTTAAAAGCACATTATTGGCATTAATGCTCAGTAAGGAGGAGGGGCCATGGCTAAGCAAATTTTAGAGTAAGAAGTAAAAATCTATGTGATCACTCAGGAAAACAAAACTCATCCTCTCTCACAAATACCAATGGTGTTTATTCTCATAAGCTGAAAGAATGTCTGTGTAATACTCCTACCCATATTCACTACTCGAGACACCCAGCATGTACTTCTTATGGAGCAATGTAAACAAAACTTTGTATTTTTTTGCCTCAGAAATAGGAAAAAGACACTATCAATTATCCCCATAAACTTTCAAAAACTAAACCCTGTAGAGGAAGAGAGAACAACTAAATATGGCTCAATGGATAAAATCCTCAAAACAGACTCCAAATGGCTCAGTGATGGGTCACGGGTTTTCCCCGAGATATAAAAAAACTACTTATTAAGCTGAATTACTATAAAGAACCTAAATAAGAAGAAGTGATGCTTGGGCTTTCAGGGAGGGAACTGGAAACCAAAAGAGCTAATGGGATGAGACTGCTCAGGATGGCACAAGAGGGCACACAAAGGTATGAGGAGCCACAGGGATGGCGCCCACTTGGCAAGACCAAACAGGAGCTATGGAGGAACAGAAACAAGTGGATGCTTTGAAACCAGTGGCCAGCACAGAGGCTCGAAGGAGGAAGAAGAGGATGGAGGCTGACCAGGGAGCAGCTCCTGCACCGCACATGTGCAGCAGGTGAACATGATTTGGATAGCTATCTGTTTCAGAAGTGGGTCCTCAGTCAGAACATCTGGAGGAAAGTTCACGATTCTAGAGCAGCACTGTCCAATACAACAGCTATAACTTCATGTGGCTGGCGAAACATAAATTTAATTAATTAAAATGAAATGAAATAAACAATCCAGTCCTTGGTGACACAAGCCACATTTCAATATGTCTTAAATAGGAAGTAGAATAATAATATGTATTATCCTATATAATAAAGAGCTAATATGAAAATGGTCATCACACCCTCACACAGTCATGCCATAACGGCTCAGACACTCAACACTGGGGAGAGAGGAATGAGGACCAGCCAGGCACAAATGAGCTCACAAGAGAGGAATGGAGACCAGCCAGGCACAAATGAGCTCGTGAGAGAGGAATGGGAGCATCCAGGCTGCAGCCCAGGAGAGGGACAAGCTGTCCACCCCGCAGTCCCAGGCGCCAGCAGCTGGGGATGCAGCCTGGGAGAGGGACAAGCTTCCCACCCGATGGTCCTGGGCGCCAGCGGCTGGGGCTGCGGCCTGGGAGAGGGACAAGCCTCCCGCTCTGCGGTCCCAGGCACCAGCAGCTGGGGCTGCAGCCTGGGAGAGGGACAAGCTGCCCGCCCCACAGTCTCAGGCACCAGTGGGTACACCTGTGCAAGGGGCCCAGGAGAGGGACATCAGCTGCCCGCCCCATGGTCCCCTGCGGCTGCGGCTGGCCTAGGCAAAGCCAGCCAGGTCCTGGATGTCTGCGGCCGGCCAGAGGGAGCGAAGCCCGAGTCACGGGTGCGGGGTGAGGCAGAGGTGGTTAAGGGTGATCAGGCAGGCAGGCAGAGGGGTTAAGGGTGATCAGGAAGGCAGGCAGAGGGGTTAGGGGCGATCAGGCAGGCAGGTGAGCGGTTAGGAGCCAGCAGTCCCGGATTGCGAGAGGCAGTCAGACATCCTCTGAAGGGTCTTGGATTATAGAGGATGCAGGCCGGGCTGAGGGACCCCCCAACCCATGCACAAATTTTATGCACCAGGCCTCTAGTTATAATATATTTAGCATTCCAGGTAAAAAGCAATTCATTATTTATAAATGTAGTCATCTGACAATTAATAAAAAGTTTAGTCTTAATCAAAAGACTAAATTTTTCCCTTGACTTTGTTTTGTACATTTTTTTTTATTGATTTCAAAGAGGAAGGGAGAGGGAGAGAGAGATAGAAACATCAATGATGAGAGAGAATCATCCATTGGCTGCCTGCTGCATGCCCCCTACTGGGGATCGAGCCTGCAACTCAGGCATGTGCCCTTGACCGGAACTGAACCCAGGACCCTTCAGTCTGCAGTTGGATGCTCTATCTACTGAGTCAAACCAGCTAGGGCAGAAGATAGATTTTTTTAAAATCCTATATAATAAAGAGTTAATATGCTGATTAGACCAAACAGTAGAACGACCGTCCAGATGACCTTCTGGAAAAAACCAGGGCTGCAAGGGCCGGCCGAGGCAGCTGGGGCTGTGAGGGCCGAGCTCCTTGCATGAATTTCGTGCATCAGGCCTCTAGTAAAAAATATTAGAGCTGATAATACCTTCACCCTCTGGTTTGATTCTCCAGAAATAATTTTGAGGTTATAGTCTCTGAGTTCAAAGGATGAAGGTTAAGGAGCAATTTCTTAGAAATCATTTACTCAACTTGGCATCTGTAAAGTTTCATTTAGATTTTCACAGAGATTTGGGAAATGAAGAACTTTTGAGGGGTGGAAATATCATAGTCTATTTTCCTCATGGGCACTGTTGATTTTTAACTACTTTGTTTACTGATCCTAGATATTCAGATCTTCTATAAAGAATCCTATATAATAAAAGCTTAGGTGGAGTCATGTGTGACGTCATCACAAGATGGCTGCCACAAGATGGCCGCTCTCACAAGATGGCCGGCATGAGAGGGCAGGTGGGGGCAACCAGGCCTGCAGGGGAGGGCAGGTGGGGGTGACCAGGCCTGCAGGGGAGGGCAGTTGGGGGCAATCAGGCAGGCAGGGGAGCAGTTAGGCATCAATCAGGCCAGCAGGGGAGTGGTTAGGGGGTGATCAGGCAGGTAGGTAGGTGAGCGGTTAGGAGCCAGCAGTCCCAGATTGTGAGAGGGATGTCCGACTGCCGGCGGACATCCCCCAAGGGGTCCCAGATTGGAGAGGGTGCAGGCCGGGCTGAGGGACACACACCCCCCATGCATGAATTTCGTGCACTGGGCCTTTAGTATTTATATAAACAGAACAAAGTCTTTTTGAAAATGCATGTTACTAAAATCCACAGATTAAAATATATCAGCTGAGATGCTGTAGTTAAGTAGATGTCACACAGAGTTTGAAGGTCAGTTTTTTTCTTTTAAAAAAAAATATATTTTTATTGATTTTAGAGAGGAAGGGGGAAGGAGAGAGAGAGATAGAAACATCAATGACGAGAATCATTGATCAGCTGCCTCCTGCATGCCCCCTACTGGGGATTGAGCCCACAAACTCGTGCATGTGCCCTGACCGGTGACCAACTGGTTCATAGGTCAATGCTCAATCACTGAGCCACAGCGGCGGAGTGAAGGTCAGCCAGTTTCAATCCAAAGGGAAAGCTCAGGATATGGAAAGCCACCACTTATCTAACACAACAACCAGAGAGAGGCCCTGCACCAGGAATTACTGTGGAATGCATAAATCTTAGTGTTCTGCTGTTTGTAGATCATTGATCAAAAATCTATGAATGACAACACTCAACTTTAAATAATGGCAGTCTGTAGGGGCAAAGGACTTCTCTTTTAAAAGTAACTTTAAATAAAAAGAAAAATCTTTTGTTCCTTTTCTAACAGGAAGACTTTGATGCTTTATTTAGAACAACAAAATGATACATCAATTCTCTACAACTAGTAACATCTTCAAAAGGTCAGAAAATAAAGCAAATAGATATATAACTCTGAACCTGCTCTCAAAAAAGAAGAGCCCCAAGAATATACATGACTTAGAAATATGCTAGAACACACACACAGTGTTTCTTAACAAATAATGGTTAAAATGAATATATTTTAAAATGACCCTGGGAGTAACATACACTCAACTTGGGAAGACTGATAATACTTGCATTGTCAAATGTTCAAAACCCTGGTTTGGAAAAGAACTGCTCTCTTGGAGCACCATTACTTAAGAGACCATTGAGCTCTACTTCTTGACTAGCAATGGTAACATTCATTTCTTTTTCCATAATTGCAATTTATTTATTTTTCTTGTTTTGTTTTAAATCTTCATTGTTGAAAGTATTACATATGCCCCCTTTTCCCCCCCCAATGACCTCTTCTAGCCCACCCCTCATCCCAGGCCTTCATCACCCTATTATCTGTGTCCAATAACTTGTATATATGCATACAAGTTCTTTGGTTGATCTCTTCCCACCCAGTCACCCCCGCCTTTCCTCTGAGATTCTCAGAGGGTAACATTCATTTTAAGAAAGAAAAGTCTCAGTATGTGAGCATTACCACTTTCTGTTATCAATGCTTTATTTTTAAATGTTTAGTAGACTATCAATTCTTTTTAATTAATACAAATAAATCTTAATAATTCTAGTCTTTCAATAAAATACAATAAACACTAAGTTATATAAAACAATGACATTTATTGAATTCTGGTTATTAGAACCTACTTCTTTTGTGTTCTATTTGGCTAAAGTGACACAATGAACCAAGAATTCTGCCATGGTGTCCACATCTTCACTAGTAATTAATGAAAAGAATTTAGCTAAAAATACTACATTTAAAAAACACAGATCTACAACTATACCATGCATACCATACCTTAGACAACTCCATGCCTGGTCCACACTGCTTGCAGAGAACACAATTTCCAAACCGATCCTTGAATTCTTGTTGTCTACAATCCCCTGTTTCACAAATCACTTTACAGACCTGAAAAAAAAATGTTTCACAAAGCATTATATTAAAGTAAGTTAATTGCATTTTTTGCAAGGAAGAAACAGTATCATCAGGATTAATTCCCATAATCACTGAATGTAAACATTAAGTCAGAGTGAGGCCAATTTAATTTTCACTTTAGGAATAAAAACCTTTTTGAATATGTAAGTGGAACAAATAAATCAATATGTCTGATTATTTTCTGTATTCTCTGAATGAGGTTCCCTTTTTCTTGGAATCAACTGCTATCTTCCTCTGATACATTTCTGAGGACCCAAGGTAGAAAATGCCTTAAGAGCTGCTCTCTTTTTTAGGAGGATTATAAAAGAACAGTCATGCAGAGACCCAAGGTCCTTTGTAATCTCAAAAATTCTGATTTCCAAAACTATATTTTTGATCATCAAGAAATATAAGCATATTCAAGGATAATGAATTGAATAAATAAATAAATGAAATTAATTAGTATAGCTATAGGAATTTTGCTATTATCCTTTACACATATCTGCCACCCAGTTTTGATGTAGAAATTTCAAACTTTTCAGGTGAACTGCATTTATTTAGAGATTGTCTTTCGATAACTTCTGACAATCTTGAGATCAGTAAAACTCTTGATGATGAAGATGACAATGGTAGCCAAACACTCTGAATGATTCAAATTAAAAGTACTATGTAAATATGAACTTATATGCTTATTGACTACCATTTAACCATTTAAATAGGACCTAATGATATACTTTGGTTCACAGCATAGGACTTAAATAGAAAGATTATCTATTTTGGCAAAAACATAGGTTGTAAGTAATTTTCAAAATATAGCCTTTTTTCTTATTTTATCTAAAAACAGTAAATTCACTTTATATACGATCATCCTACAAAATTGTGTTATTCTGTTTTCTTAACAGTATTTTGTGGGGGGAAAAATTGTCCGAAATAATAGAATTTCAGATTGGTGACAACATTCAGTTCAACCTTTCATCGTTAGCACAAATGCCCTCAATGACATTCCTGACTATAATTTTGTTTTCCAAAATGAAAGCTAAAAACCTCTAGGAAGTACTGGGAGAACAGTGACTGCTGTTATGGATAAAGCCTATCACACACAGGTACACACTGAATTGTTTTTGATGGCTATAATAATGAGCAATTATTCAGTACAAATTACCTCCACCTTGTAGCAGAAATATCTGTAAAGATATCGGCAAGCCTCCTTATATAAAAACAAAGACGGAACCTCCTGAGCAGGCAGAAGGGAGAGTTCATGGTGGAATTTAGGCCTACAACATGATTTGGGGCTAAAGGTCTAGTAATCTCCTCCTGCCTCTCTTCACTGTCCTTGACTACCAATCTTAGAGGAGTTTGGTTTTATTTGAGAGAGGTAAGAGATTCCCTCCCACTGCAAAGCAACTGCAATGGTTTTGAGAAAGACATTACCCAACCTCCTCCTTCATTCCAATGTTTCACTACCTCAACTGAAAGAAAGGAAGCTTTCCTTATATCTGCCTGAATCTCAGACTCTAAATGGACCCCATTTCCTCTTATTTTGTCTTCCAAGAAGACTTTGAGTACTGCCTTCAATATAAATAATTCTTTTTATAGTTGTAGATCATAATTATATCTTCAAACTAAATAAGTTTCAATTCTTTTGAACACCTTCATAGATCTTTTGTGTCAAGCTTTCAATCATGAAAACCCTCCATCTGTCCTTAATGCTTTTTGGAACCTAGAATATAAATAACTATATTAAAATAACAGAACTTTCAAAAATCAATTCTAAATACTTCACAAACTGTGTGAGTCATGGGCTCCAAGTCAGACTCTATGGTCTTGTTAGGTGCTGTGGGAATGCCTGTAAACCCAAAGTAATAACTGTCATGGGGCTGCAAGTAAAAATAAAATATAATTTTGACAATTGTTACAAAAGTCCAGACTCAGGAGCAATCTTTGATTTATTAATTAAATGTAACAATTATAAAATGCAATTTGAAAGCAAATTTTAAAATATGGAATCAGACATAGAAAACAGTTCGGGTACTATGTATATGAATTCTTCCACCACTCTCTTTTTTTATTATTTATTGATATATATTTTTAGAGAGAGAGGGAGAGGAAGAGAGAGAGAGAGAGAGCAAAACATCAATCAGCTCCTGCACGTGCCCCAATCAGAGATCGAACCTGCAATGTGAGCATGTGCCCTGACCTGTAATCAAACCAGCGACCTTTTGGTACATGGGACGACACTCAACCAACTAAGCCACACCAACCAGGGCTCACCACATTCTTATGAAAGTAGAGTTGACTTACCAAATAGGCTAGCAAAGCTACAATGGTGAAAAATGTTTTCTCTTGTTCTAGTAGCACTTTTAAAGCCATGGTTCTTAATAAATGTACTTATTGTTGAAGAGTTCTAAAAGATAAGAAGATAACAGATAACATTCATAACAATTAGTGACTATGCTCTATATTTACTGTATAATGTTTATTATTTGCTTATATATATACTAGTAATAGTATTTATGTTTTAAAAAGAATCATCTTTAAGAAGGTACAATAGGTATATAATATGTAATATTTAAAAATGTAACTTATTAGAGTTAACACTTTGTCTACATACACACCATATGCAAAACTCCTACTGGTTTTGAATTCTCAGGTCTTTATTTTCTACCCAAGCCTCCATAGTGTCCAATCTACTTCACCCAGTAGAGAATTACATTTAAACAGTGAGTATGTAAACCTTCCATTCCATGGATTCAATCATCACCAACAGGATAATAATAGTGATTAAAAAAACAATTAACACCTGCTAAGCACTATGTGCCAGGTACTATTTTCAGCATGTTAACTCATTTAATCTTTCAACTACTCTAGAAGATAGTTACTATTGTTATCCCCATTTTAGAGAGGGGAAACCGAGGCTCAGAGAGAGCTGAGTCACTTGCCCATGGTCACACTGCTAGTAAGAGGCAGAGCTGGATACAAACCCAGGTGGGTTGGCTCCAGTATCCCTGTGTCACTATACCTTGCAAAACAATCTGTTTGGATCTTTGACCTTACTAGTTAACTCCACTAAGAAGCAGACACAGATAACATTTGGCATTGTTTCCCAAACCAGTTCAGTGCAAATTATATATTAGCAGAAAAAATATGCATTCATTTAAAAACATCTAAACATAATTTACAAGTGATGAAATTGGAGGCACTAATCTGACATTTCAATAAAAGATAATCCAAACCTCTTTATATTCACCAGAAATGATCTAAAATGTAGAAACAAATGTAGAGCCAGAGCATAGCATGGGAGTAGACTTTTTTTAAATGAAAACTTATCTGGAGGCTCCATCTATCAGGTAGAGAAACAAGGGTTCAGTTCCCCTTTAGGGTTGAATCTTCCAAAAGTAACAGAGACCCAGAGCAAATAACCTGACTACTTAAAAAGAAACCATAGCAGAGAACCAGAACCATGGGCCAAATAGCTCAAGAAAAACAATAACAATAACAAAACAAACAATAACAAAAGGAAGCAGAGTTGGGCAGGCTGATGTGTCAACTGCTAGCCAAGCAGTGCACCTGGAGTGCGCCTGAACACAGCCTGGACACACACAACCCAGATGGTCATTTCAGCTGCCTGAGCAGATCCAATTATCAGGGCAATAAAAATATCATTTTTAAGTTTGTCAAATGAATGACTCATTTTTAGTGAACTCAAGCAGCTTTTATTGCTTTTCCAGCTTCTTGGCCATAGCCTTCCTTTCCCCCCTTGCATATCTCAAAATCATCCAGTAATTACCCAACCATGCAACTTGCTCCTTGTGTAGACACAGGATTGGGGTCAGAAGATAAAATCACATTCCATGAAAGGTATGCTGCAAGTTATCTTTCTCGACATGATCTCAAAATTTTTTTAATGTGCTAATTTTTAAAAGTAAAAAACAAACAAAAATTATATGGAATTAAACTAATATGGAAAAGAGGATATATATATATATATATATAAGCATTTACACAAAATATGAGAAAAAATAAACTGACAGTCATTGCATACCATAATTGAGCAACTAGGTTGGACTGAATACTCTCCTGGTATCCTGTACTAATGACTGAGGAAGGCAGATAAATACAGTAGCATATTCTTGAAAAGGCAATTGACAACAAGCTAGAAAGCATAATTTTGACTTCATAAAATACACCTATTTTATATAAAAAATATTATCAATGGCTAGGTTCATATTGTGGCATTCTGGGTAAATTTTTCCCCTTTTTCCTACATTTCTTTATAGTGTACTAGTATTTCATTAATAATAAAGGAAAAGCTAAGTGACATGGTCCTCCTTGAAAAGTTTATAAAAGAGGTAACAAGATAAAAACCATATAAACACTACCAAAGAAAGAAGAAAATTAAATAAAGTACTATGATTTTTGCATCACAAAGAGGTTTTTTTAGATTATAGGGTAGAGAAAATTAATAAAACTATACCTTATGTGCTGACTTCTATTGTTCTCCCAATACATGTGCTAAATTGAATAGTTTGAAGGGAAAATATAAAAGTAGTATTGCCTTGCCTAAATTTCCTGTATAGGTAGATTTGTCTGCACAAATTATCTTCTAAACTCCTTAATTTTGCCCCTATGCCTTTTATAATCTCACTGGATGGCCTGCCAGTCCCACCACTGGTCACTCCTCTCATTGCCCATCCAGTTCAGCCCTCCCACCATACTCTTGCTTCTCCTGAATACCTGTGATCTTGCCCTCATGAACAGGCCCTCCTCGATCTGGAGGGCCTATCTCCTACTGAATCCCTACCAGAACCAGCTCAACTGGAACCCTGCTGTCCATAACCAAGCACAGAGAATAGAGTTGCTCCCTATGGCTCTATAGCTCTTCTGCATTCACATACAGTATTTATCATGTTGCACAGCAATTATGCTTATTTGTGTCTCAGTTTACTCACCAGATTATATGCTCTTTAAAATAGGGACTACACCTTATTACTCATTGTATTTTCAGTGTCTAGCATATAAGTGCTAGACATAAAAGTGCTCAATGAACATTTGGGAATTAAGTGAATGAAGAAGCACAAAACAAGGTAGACTATATTGTGGAAAACAAGTGAGATTTGGTTGCATATAACAGACTTAATTCATCTGTGGTGAATAGAATAAACATTCTAATATATATTTTTTATACAATCTTATTACCTCTTCAAGGCATTAAATAATACAGTAATCCTATATAATAAAGAGGTAATATGCAAATTGACTATCATGCGCTAACACAAGATGGCCACCCCCATGTGGTCACAAGATGACCGCCCCCATGTTGACACAAGATGGTCACCACAAGATGGCCAGCAGGGGATGGCAGTTGTGGGCAATCAGGCCAGCAGGGGAGGACAGTTAGGGGCGACCAGGACTGCAGGGGAGGGCAGTTGGGGGCAATCGGGCTGGCAGGGGAGCAGTTAGGTATCAATCAGGCTGGCAGGGGTAGGCAGTTGGGGGCAATCAGGCTGGCAGGGGAGCAGTTAGGTATCAATCAGGCTGGCAGGGGAGTGGTTAGGGGGTAATCAGGCAGCAGTCCTGGATTGTGAGAGGGATGTCCGACTGCTGGTTTAGGCCCGATCCCTGTGAGATCAGGCCTAAACCGGCAGTCGGACATCCCCTGGACTGCTGGTTTAGGCCCGATGCAGGCTGGGCTGAGGGCCTCTAGTTTATTTGTGCAGTGGGCCACTAGTTCATTTGTAAAAATCCAAATTCACTTTTAAAAATGCAAGATTTCTTACACTGGGGGCTGGAGACTGAAATGTGCCACTGAAATATGTCACTTCTCTTTTCTATAACTTTCCTTTAATCCTGGGTTTTTATATCAATAGGGTGGGACACTCTAAAGTCCTGGTTTATCCAACATGGGTAAAAATAGCCTGAGTTTTATTGGGAACTGTCAGGGAAAAATGGCAACTAGAACATCTGGATTTTAAGTCCCATTTCTTGGCAATGTCACTTTGAAACTACCCAGCTACACAGAGAAAAAAATAGAACCTATTTCCTTGGGGGCTTGGTGAGGATTAACTGAGATAATACATACAAAGTACCTAGAACAGAATGAAAGCATAATCAATGGTGGCTATTGATGTTGTTATTGTGGCTGTTGTTCTTAAGAACACCATTTATTAGCTGTGTGACCTGGACAAGTTACGGAGAGTTCATTGATAGAAACTATTTCTTGCATGCCAGAGGTGCTAAGTAAGTGTTAGCAATGATGACTGTCGTTATTAATGATACTAGAGGCCCGGTGCACAAATTTGTGCATGGGTGAGGTCCCTAGGCCTGGCTGGCGATCAGGGCCAATCAGGTCTGGACCAATCAGGGCCAGGCCAATCAGGAGGGACCAGCCGGGGGGATGGACCGTGGGAGGTTGGCTGTGGGAGCACACTGAACACCAGGGGGCAGCTCCTGCATTGAGCATCTGCCCCCTTGGTGGTCAGTGCACGTCATAGCAACTGGTCAACCAGTCGTTCCGGTTGTTCGGTCATAACAGTCTCTTAGGCTTTTATATATATACTAAAGGCCTGATGGACAAAATTCATGCGGGGGGCCGGGGGGGGGGGCGAGGTCCCCTCAGCCCAGCCTGCACCCTCTCCAATCCGGGACCCCTCAGGGGATGTCCGACTGCCGGTTTAGGTCCGATCCCCGGGACCACTGGCTCCTAACTGCTCACCTGCCTGCCTGCCTGATCACCCCTAACTGCCCCCCTCTGCCAGCCTGGTTGGCCCACTCAGACTGCTGTTCAGTCATTTGGTCGTCCCTCACTAATCCCCCTGCCAGCCTGGTCACCCCACGCAGCCTGCTGTTCAGTCGTTTGGTTGTCCCTCACTAACCCCCCTGCTGACCTTGTTGCCCCATGCAATCTGCTGTTCGGTCATCCGTTCGGTTGTTTCAGTCATGATGGCCCCTGGCTTTTTATATATTAAGATAGATTACCATGAGGATCAAAGGATCCAATATATGTGACAGTCTTTTGAGGCTGTAACCTGTTAGACAAATATGAGACATTTTTCAGAGGATTTTAGACTTTTAGACATACAGGCCTGCAGAAAGCATCTGACGACCAAGAAACAATCCAAAGTTTGAACTAAGCATTTCTAAAGTCAAGTACTATGTTAAGGCTTCACAAAAATATGTTTTCCCCTTACTACCATACTCTAAAGTAGACATTTATCCCCATACAGGTACAATGGGAGAGAAACCTGCATCAAAGGACACGTGTCCTAGTAAGGGTGGAAATGAATCTAATTCATGTCTGCTGACTCCAAACAAAACAGGGCTCTTGCCCGTTCTGCCAGGTTGACTTCCAGCTGTATCCTGTGTCACAGCATCCAATGGCCCCTTCCATTTGGCCTAGTAGAACTATATCAACAAAACTAATCAACAAAAACAAAACAATTTAACAAAATAATATATTTCATGATTTATCCATTTATTCAATACACCCTGATTAAAGAGTTATTAAGTGCCTGAAAGGAGGCAGCTTCCTAGGCCAGCCTCTAAAGAAGATAAATTGAACAGATGCTGAAATGCACAGCTTTTCTACTTCCTTGTCCAAATCATGAAAACCTGTGCTGGTGTGTCACCAGGCAAAGAGGCAGGGCCTCAGAGATGGCAGTTCATAGGAACCCCATTGAAGAGGAGCAGTTCTAGGCCACATCTCCTATTGGCTGGGCAGACCACTGGATCCCAAACCACTATGGTTATTTCAGCCTGCACTTCCCTCAACTGTTGCTCCCTCTTTTGCCCTGTGCCTTTGTATACACCTACCTTCATCCACCAGGCCTGCCCCCGAATTTATCAAAGTTCTCCTGGAACCTCCCCGAATGAGCACTTCTCCTTTGTTCTTCCATAGCACCCTGGACTTAGGTATCTCACAGCATAATTATCTGGTTACTTCTTTCTCTTTGTAGCCCTTGTGTTGCCAGCAGCAGCATTATTTTCTGCAGTCACCACAACTTTTATTATTATTGTTGTTTGTTAATCCTCACCCAAGGATATTTTTTCCCCATTGATTTTTTTTAGAGACAGTGGAAGGGAAGGGTAGAAACAGACAGAGAGAAACATTGATGTGAGAGAGACACATCGATTGGTTGCCTCCCGCACCTACCCCAACCTGGGCGGGGGATCTAGCCTGCAACGGAGGTAGGAGGTACGTGCCCTTGACTGGAATCAAACCCAACGACCCTTCAGTACGCGGGCTGATCCTCTAACCAAATCCAGCTAGGGCAACACTTAATTTTTAAAATACGTTTTCAATACTAAAATTAATAATGTTTTTAAAAAATTGGAAAATTTGGCCACCATGAGTCCCACAACAAAGCAACATGAGCTAGAGCTGAGCATCAGGTATTCCTTACAAAGAGAAACATTTACGTTGTAGGCTCAGTTTCCACCATTTCCTATTGTCACACTGGGCTCCCTTCATTTTATCACCAACCAAGACATTGGAGTTGCCACCAACTATTAGGGTTTGAGGATTTAATGACAAGAAATGTGATCTTGCTCTAGAACTGTAATTCACCCAAAAAATGTGCCCTATACCTGTTGAATGAATGAAAAAAAATCATTAATTAGGGCTAATATTTTACTTCAGGGTCATTGTAATGACTAAAACAATATATGTGAAAATTATGTGCACCTATAACTTGAGATTGAAATATAAGTTACTGTGATAGAATACAACTTTGGTCAGGACCCCATTTCTTGTAAATAGTGCAATAATAATCACAATGATCACTAAGGAGGGAGATCTGGTATTTATCTTTCTAATTTTAACAAATCAGTAACCTTTCTGAGAAGGATTTTTATTTTTGATCTTATAATTGACCCAAATATATGACTCAGAATAATTCCAATAACCTGGATAATTTTTCAGAATAAAATAATTTTATTTTTCCATTCTTTGAAAGCCATTGGATTTATTATTGAACATGTAGTGCATGCAACAGGTAATAGTTTTTTCTAGTAAAACTATATTAACATTATGTAATGCAATATATCCAACTCAGACATTTTTCCAATATGCAATAAGCTAAAATATTTTTTTAAATCAACATTAAAGTAAACCAGCAGGCTTACAATTTATAAAATCAGCATTGAAATAAAGCTTGTGCTATACATACAGAATTTTACATTTTAATGGTGGAGTATAATAATAAATGGCTAAGAAATAATGTCAGTCCCATATACTAAGAAAATTAAAAAAGAATTAGAACAATAACTCCTATAGCCTCTAGTTATTCTGTACCTTAGCCTGCAATTTCACTGTATTCTGAAAATTGTTCTTCCTACATCATGGAGTTGGCAGCCCTTTTTGTAGCCTAGGAAGCTCGCAAAGGTGTGCTGTAATAAAAATAGACATATTGTTGTTTGCTGGGAAATGAGAATGATTTTCCTTTTTTTCAAATCATGAAATATTTTTTTACTAAATCTCTACATGCTCTAAAATGTTCTTTTGCCAAATACAATATCTTCAATTCCCCCAAAGTTCAAAAACATTAGGGACTGCTCAGTGTCGGGCTCCAATAATTTTTTCTTAACAGAACTTAAACTACGATAGAGTTTTGAAACTAATTCCTTTTATTTCTCTGAGTTGCAGACTCTATCATCTTTGCCTTAGTAAAATAACTATAATACAGTGTTCTTGAAATGTTCAATAAACAAGCATATTGTAACTAAGGTACTTTTCCCCAAATTCATAAATGTTTATCCTAAAATATAAATAGAACAATTGCAGCATTAAGGACTAAAGGCACCTCAAGCATCAGCCCAATCTATTCTAAGAGAATTGTGCACAAGCATTTCTAAAACACAGCTGTTTAAATTTTTATTTTAGAAGTGAGTCTGGATAGATTCCAAAATCACTCTCTGCAACATGTATAGTGTTCTTCTCCAGTATAAGTAGCCCCCATTCTTTTAGAATTTCCTCATATTAGACCCAGCTAAGGCAACTCAAGAGTGGCCAAATAACATTTCATTTTCGGATATACAAGTCCCTTTGTCTTCTATAATTGCTGATATGTAGTTGTTCTCTTTTTAAAATCTAGGTTTTAAAACTTTAGTTTAAAAGGTACATATTCTGTGATGTGTGGACAAGAAGATAACCCAATACTGTTTAAACATCTTACTTTTAAATGTAAACATTTTAGACAGATAAAATACGAAAATACAATGAATGGACTCACTGCCCAACCAGTAAATCATGAAAAGAAGTTGTGTTCATATTGCTTTATTGTTCTTTTTCTTCAGCTAGAAAGTTGCTTTAAAAAGGCTATGATCTTTACTAATTAGCTGCCATGTGATAAACGTATTTAACTGCTCCTGGTGTACATATACTCAAGGTAGGTATTCTTACTCAACCTGAAGTCAACACAGAGATTGCTGGCCTTCTCCAGAATTTTAAATTTGATTTTATATATTGATTCATCAAATTGAAAAGGATTTGCCTTTTTCCTATATTAAAATGCCTGCAGTTTTTCCATGTTGTGTTAATTTTTGAATGGTAGTACTGATTAGTCACAGGGGATTGGGTTATGGGTGAGTTCAGAGATTGAAATAGGTTAAAAAGGAGAATCAGCCCAGCCAGCATGGCTCAGTGGTTGAGCAATAACTTATGAATCAGGAGGTCACTGATTCCCAGTTGGTCGAGGTCGAGGTCCAGGCTCCATCATCCCCAGTGGGGGCGTGCAAGAGCCAATCAATTGGTGATTCTCATCATTGATGTTTCTATTTCTCTCTTTCTCCCCCTCTCCCTTCCTCTCTGAAATCAATAAAACAACAACAACAACAAAGGAGAATCAAATGAATGTTAATAGAATTCCTCACTTATGTTTCAGAATACCTCACTAGATTCATATATTAGAGCTAGTAAATTAAAGTAATATATTAAGCACAATATGTGACTACTACATCTCTCAATTCTTTTCCCACCCAGTCTTCTGGGTAGGAAAGGCACATTACATTGCATTTTCAAGTGCATAAAAAGCCTTCATATGTCCTTAACTTCACATTCAAGATCTTGCCTGAACTCAAGAGTCAAAAGACACTCCCATCAGGCCCTGGCCCCGTAGCTCAGTTAAAGTGTCCTCCCAATATGCCAAAGTTGCAGGTTTGATACCCCGTCAGGGCACATACAAGAATCAACCAATGAATGGATAAATGAGTGGAACAACAAATCAATGTTTGTTTGTTCTCTCTCTCTCTCTCTCTCTCTCTCCCCTTCCTCTCTCTAAAATCAATATTTTTTAAAAATATTTAAAAATTGAGAACTTCAAAGAACTTAAAAAAAATGACACCCCATCAAAGAAACAAACAACTGCATGAATGCCCCAGAAAATATTAACACAACATCCCAAAGTTAGCACTAACCATGGGGAAAAAAATCTAACGTGGCCTCAGTAATAAAGTAAATGTCAATAGGACATTTTCATGGGCTAAAAAGTAAAGAATTTACAGAGCTCATGATAACACACCATGCATTAATGTTAAGGCAATATTTTTAAAATGAAATGGCATCTCTGTTTTGTATTATTTCAGAACAACTTGATAAATATTATGCAAAGAAAAATTCTTAAGTACCCACATCTCTGTGAATAATAATGTTAAAAACTGTTTACTACAGTAGGACTCAATTCTCACCTCCTCTAGTTACATATCTTTAAATCAGATAATAAACAGTGCTTGAAATAAAATAATTTTTAAGTTACATTGAAAGTAGCATTGGCAAAAATGCCTAAGGTGAACCTGCACAACAGAAAACATATTGAGTAAATCCCAAACTAATGCAATATAATCCTCCCTTTTGCATGAAGTATCTGATCATGACAAAAAAACAACATATTAAAGTAAATTTGTGTGTTTGCATAAGAAAACGGTTTCCTGTTTACATAAAGAAATCATCTTCTACTAAAGAAAAATTGTCACTGAAGTCAAAACCACAACTTCATAAATATTTTGAGTTAAACTGTTTCAATTAAAGAAATACCGAAGAGTGCTTATGGTTTTGTTTGAAAATTGAGTCCTTTTACTAAATGCAAAAAAAGGTGACATGGATTTCTTACAATGGTAAATGTAGGTTTGATGCATAGTTCCCTACCATCAAAACAGACCACTGAAGAGTAGTAGCTAAATTTCTATTCAATGAAATGGCATCAGAAGGCTGTGAAAGCTTACCTCTCTTATCTACCAGTACTCTATGCTCTACCCATCATCACAGTACTAAGAAATAGGCTTACATTTGCGAAACTTTCTTTTTCCGCACAATGAACATGTTTATGGACCACTTACAAATCGTGTAAATGTTCTCTTTCTACCTCCTCAGCTATAACTGGGTAGTCTGGGCCTGCACACAGCTTCCTCCTGAGAAGTGCGCTCTGGCGCGGGTTGGAAGTGTCTCCGGCAGGGGCCCAGCGCAGTCGGTTAAAGGCCAGAGTGAAGCCGCACGCAGATTGATTTATGTACTTACACACGCCTGCCTTAGAAGCAGATTTATATTTACAAGATCCCTGGAGAGAAAGACTAAGTCCTGTCATTCCGGACGCCAAAGAGACCGGAATATGTTCACACCCTCTAGTCCCTCCAGCAGCTGCGACCGAAGCTCCCGCGTCTGGGGAGCCTCCTTCCTCCGCAGTCCCAGGTTGTCACTCCTTCCCGGGGTCGCCCTCGCCCAGCTCAGTCCTCCTACCCCCCTACTCTGCACCAGAGCAACCCTAGCTTGCCCCTTTCCTCCGTCGGGCTGCTGCCCCCTCTTAGGGCCGCCATCTCGCAAGGGTCCGGCGGGGCAAGGGCTATGTACTGCTGCGCAGCGCGGCACAGCCCCCGGTAAGCCGGCACCTACCTTCCCAGGCACCTGAGAGGCTCCGCCCGCCGCGCTCCGCAGCGTGCCCTGCAGGCCCCGGCTGGAGTGGAGGCACCGGAGCGCGCTGGACCGGCCCGTACAGGGTACGAGGTTCGGAGCTGGACTGGGGTCCACTCCCCGCACGCACGCGGATCGGGTCCAGGGACCGCCCGTTCGGCTCGGCGGTCTCGTAGCCCGGCAACGGCCGCCGCCTCCTGGGGTCCCGCCCACCTCCGGGCCCCGCCCACCGCGCCTCCCGCACCCTTCACGTCGCACGGCCCCTAGGCTCTCCTAGGCGACCCCTCGCAGCCTCCCTGCAGTCCGTGGCTGGAGGAGCAGGCGAATGCGACCTGGGGCGGGGACGGAGCGGGGACGGAGCTGGAAGGGACACCAAGACCACCGAGAGCTTGACTGTTAGGCGAACTGCTTTGGCGAAGGGAAGGAACCTTCCTTCCTACCCTGCATGTGTCTTCCCAGGACCTTTGTGCTTTCCCTTGCGGGTCACATTCTACCCAAGCCCGCTTCAGCATAGGAGCAAAGGCCCCGGGAAAACGGTGTGGCACATTTGCTCTGGTCTATCAAGATCATGATGGCCTAGCTCACCAACAGCCGCCTCATTCATTCATTGATGGATTTTCCCAGCAGATGTTCACCCAACACCCTTTCAGGGTTTGTGTTCTAGTTAACTGTGTCCACGCCAAGACCAGCTCAGTCCAACTCTAAGGATCACTAAATAAACTCAGAGCCACTGGTGATGTAGGGAAGCACAGAGCCTGGCCTCCGTGCCTTCATTAGTACTCTGTATAAGGTGTTGACACTTCTGAACTTTAATTTGATAATATACGAAGCAGAGAGGGTACCCACTTTGCTGATTTGTTGGAAGGAGTGAAAGAATTATGTATGTAACAAAAGTACTTTTGCAGCAGTAGAAAGCTATAGTAATTATAAGTAATTATTGTTTTATCTGTCCAGTGAGTGAATAAATAGACCAATACTTTCAAACCCAAGATACTGGGCATGACTTATGTGTTGGTTTTGTTTTTCCCACACGACTGCAAGTCTTTTTGGATGGAACCAAATCCTATGTTTTATATACCCCAAGGCCCATACAGGCCTCTCAATAAATATTTGTTGAATGAATGAATGTTATTAGACTTAATTACTAATAACCACATCTCCTGATCCATACTGAGAACACTGTAGTGTTGTACCAGTTACTTGTGAAAAATACATTAAAATATTATCATCACAAGTGTCACACATCAAGATTGTCTACTTCAAATCTAACATGGTCAGAGTAGAAATCAAATAATGACTTATTTGTAAATGATTTACAAATGACATACACTAGCTTATTTGAACCTCAAAGCAAGTATACATTTCCCTGCCTTAGTAGCTGTTACCTAGTACTACTAAAGATTCTGTATCCTGCACTAACATGCTCCTTATTATATTGAAGTTACCTGTTTGTCTGGGTTCCTCTCTCCAACTAGACTTCAATCTCCTGAGGACAAATCTTTTCTTAATATCTCAGAGCCTAGCTAGCACGTAGGATACTCAGTAATTTGTTAGGCTGAATTACCGCATCTTCCTTCATAAGGACTCCAGCATTCACCTCTTCTTCCTCTTTTTCTCTTGGTCTCACCATGTCCACCAAAGTTCAGGCCCTCTCCACCTTTCACTTGAATGTTGCTCCTACAGCGTTTGAATATTATCAGACCTTCTCCTTGCTGTTTTGTCCAGTGGACCTATTTCAACCTCCCTGCCATTACTGTCACTATCCAGTAAAATGATTAACATTCCTCATTGTAAAGAATGGCTTCTATATTCCTTGAATTAGGATTCAGAGATTTCCAGGTTTGGATTCCACCCATATTTTCAGCCTTACCTTTCTTCTCTTCTCTAGACTTTATATTCTTTACTAGAAGCCCGATGCACGAAATTCGTGCAAGGAGCTCAGCCCTCGCAGCCCCGGCTTCGTCTGGAAGGTCGTTTGGTTGTCTGGTCTAATTAGCATATTACGCTTTTATTATTATAGACTAGTGGCCCTGTGCAAGAAATTCGTGCACTGGAGGGGGGGTCCCCCAGCCTGGCCTGTGCCCTGTCACAGTGTGGGAGCCCTGAGATTGATCGCCCCAAAGAGGTAGGCCCCGCCCACCCATCTGGAGCTCCTTCATGGATTGCCCCACAGAGGTAGGCCAGAGCCGTGGACCCCCAGGCCTCCAAGCCACACGGGGACCTGCCAGCCTCGCCTCCCCCATGTGATGCAGTGGAGGCTGGGCCCCCCAAGCCTCTGCACCAAGCAGGAACCTGCTGGACCAGCCTCCTCCGCGCCGTGTGGAGCCACGGGACCCCAGGCCCGGCCGCATGTGGAGCTGGGAGGAGGCAGGACTCCCAGGCATTCTCCGTGCTGCCCAGCCCTGCCCACCTGCTATGTGCACAGCCATCTTGTGACAACTTGAAGGCATCACAGTGTGACGGTATGAGGACCACCTAGGCTTTTTTATTAGTAAGATATTCTGGCCAAACTGGTCTGCGTGCCTTGACTCAAAGTGCCCTGAACTTGCCCTTCTCTTGGCTCTCTAAGCTTCCTCTTCATATACACCTATTTCCCTCACCTCTCTGATGCCTTACTTATCTGACTTTCACGACCAACTTATAAGTCACAACTCTCACCAGTCTCCAAGGTTTGTGGCCTTCTTATTCGAATGATAGCACTTGCCACATTCTCTCATATGTCATAACTATCTGTGACTGAGATTTCTTCCTCAAGGAATTAAAAGGAGTTCTACTTTCAGAGAAGGGCTACATTTTGTTCAAACTTGTATCTCTGATAGTATCAAACATTCCCATAAATATTCAACAAATGTTTTCTGAGTGGATTTATTCTGCCAGCTCAGGAAGGTTAGCCAACTGTCTTTTCTTCTATGGCCACCATTTGTCCTTAGAGCCAGTGACACATGATATAGTTCTTGCATCATTTCCTGTGTATGTGATTGATCTTCCCAGTAAGCTTGTTAGCTCACTGTGGAGAGAGACCCTAATGCGAACACACACAGGCTTTGGCATCAGATAATCTAGCCTTAGATCCTAATTTGCCATTCACTAGTTGCATGCCCTTGGAAAAGTTACTTAACCTCCCTAAATTTCCATTTCTTCAACTGTAAAATGAGTTGTTTCATTGGTGGTTATTAATTAAGATAAGGTATTGAGATCACTTAACCTAATGCCTGTCACATAGTAAGTGCTCACTCAATGCCAGTCAATATTAGCAGCAGCATACCTTTTGTAGGGCAGACAATGCCTAGCATCAGTATATAAATGATAATAAAAATGATATTTGACAGTGGTGACAAAGATCATTGAACCTCTGTGCTCTAGCTACTAAATAAATCTTATTCTCTAAAGAAAAGCGTGTTAAGTTAATACATACTCCTCACTTTACCTCACTTTGAAGGTATATATGACCTGGAGACAGTATCTGAAGGAGAATCCAGGCCCACAATTAAGCACCAGAAGTGATACAAAAAGAACTGTATGATCCCTGGGCTCATTCAGAATGAAACTGATGCTTAGAATTGGGGCTGCAAGCATTTTTCTCCCTTTAAAACACTGACTATTATTAATGGGTTGAAATTTTTATTGTAAAAGCCAAATTGTTACATGGATCTTGGTAGAGGTGTTGTTGCTTTAGGGTTGGTATTTCTGAAGTTAGTTTTAGCAATATCTAAGCTAAGGCATTATGTTTATCCTATATAATAAAAGCCTAATATGTTAAGTGTCCGGTTGTCTGGTCGTCCGTTCAACCAATCAAAACATAATATGCTGATATGCTAAGTTCACTCAACCGCTCTCAATAACGTGCACTGACCACCAGGGGGCAGACAGTCGACCGGTCGACCAGTTACTATGATTGATGTGCACCAGCCACCAGAGGGCAGGCGTTCCGACTGGTAGGTTAGCTTGCTGCTGGGGTCCAGCCGATGGGGACTAGTGAGACGGGCTGGACATGCCCTGGAGCCTTCCCGTGGTCCCTTCCTGGCTGGCCAAACTCCCGTGTCCCTCCCTGGCCCGATCGTGCACTGGTGGGGGTCCTCAGCCTGGCCTGCACCCTCTCAAAATCCGGGACCCCTCAGGGGATGTCGGAGAGCCAGTTTCACCTGATCCCGCAGGCCAGGCTGAGGGACCCCACTGGTGCACGAATTCGTGCACCAGGCCTCTAGTTTAGAATATTTCCCCCCCAAAAGTTGAACTAATGAAGTAGCAAACTTCTTGAAAAATAGTTTCAGTGATAAGCTAGCTCCCTGGAAGAAAAGTTAATGGAAAACTATTTGACTTCTTAGTAATTCCTAGTGTAAATCATTATTCCTTGGGAAAATGGAGTAGAATGAAAGCTACATAAAAATTCTAAATTTTGTCTCTTAGGTCACAGTGACTGTATCTAGTAGGTACTTGACAATTTGTTGAATGAATTAATGAATGGGGTAGGAATCTCAAAGAATAATAAAATTTGCCAAATATAGTTAAAGGCTCTGGTAAGCAGGACACCTACCTTTCCTGTCACCTGAGAGGCTCCACCCGCCACGCTCCACAGTGTGCCCTGCAGGCCCCGGCTGGAGTGGAGGAACAGTGGTGCACTGCCTCAGTTAGTTAGAACTTGGTCCCAATATGCCAAAATTTCGGTTTGATCACTGGTCAGGGCACATATAAGAATCAACCAATGAATGCATAAATAAGTGGAACAACAAATTGATATTTCTCTCTCCTGACCCACTCTCTTTCTCTAAACTCAATCAATAAATTTTTAAAAATCAAATATAGTTAAGAAATAAGGAAAAAAATTAACTAGGACCCAAGATTTAAATAATTCCCAATACCCCTTACTGCCAATTATAGACTATCAGTGCAGGGTTGAGGCCAGATGTTGAGTGACTTGCTCAAGATCAGACACCAAGTTAATAATAACGCTAGAATAAAAATCCAGGCTCTCTGAATCCTAATATAATCTTCACCATACTGCTAGTGCATAAAACAATATACATGAAAAGGCCAGGGAGGTTATTTATTTAATCTAATGTTAAACTCATGACATTTATAAAGCAAAGTTGTTGTAAATTGTAGCAACTGCACTGATCTTTGTGAGTTTATGACACCTCTGTTGGCCAGACTCTTTTCATG